CAGCTGCATGTTTTAACTATTAGGTAACGATTTGTATACAGTATGTCATTGTCACCGCTGCATTTTCTCCCCCTTATTTGGCTCTGAATATCAGGGGCACCTCCAGCTCATTCAGGGAGACTAGTTCCCAAACCAAACAAGAGGTATAACCTCTCCAGCATGTCAGGGGTCTGCTCTGTGGACTCTTCCTGGTAGGACATGCCCCTGAATGTCTCACCTGGGTGACGATGAGGGGGCACTCTTGTCAGATGCTCAGACCACATCAACTAGCTCCTTTCGATGTGGAGCAGGAACAGCTCTACCCTGAGCTCCTCCCAAATGACTGAACTCATCATCCTCTCGGATGAGGAGGAAGTTCATTTTCACTGCTTGCACCTAAGACCTCATGTGACCATAGGTCATCAATAGCTGTCTGCCAAACCACTGACACTCTACCGTTCCTGTCTGTCAGTGTCGGCTCCACTCTCACTTCACTCATGAACAAGACCCAAAAAATCCCGAACTCCTCCATATTGGCCATCAACTCCTCCCAGAGTGGGCAATCCAGCCTTTTTCAGCCACTCTGCAAATCATCCTAGTGCACGCTGGATGTCACCTCCTGATGAGGTCAGAAGAACCACATCTCGGACCTTAAGCATAGTTTATGGTCCTGCAAATGTGTCCATCCAACATACATTCGCATCTGGACAGGGGGGGAGGTTTTCAGCCACCCTAGACATGCTCCCATGCAGTCTTCCAAAGTATTAAGTGTGTGTTGCTGGAAGCAGATAACATGTGCATCTGCCAAGTGCTACATTCAGGGGCATGTCCTACCAGGAAGAGTCCACAGGGCCTACTTGGTTGAAACAGCAGATTTCAACAGGAATGGGAGGAGGACAAAAGAAATTTCAAAGATCAACATATGCTGTTTTTAGACCAGCAACTGGTCCACAGGCCGGTTGTACCACATACTTTGCATGACTCAGATGCAGGCAGATGATCCATTCTCTGTCTGCCAGCAGGCTGAGTAATACTACCTCTGCTGGGCCACAAATTCCACTCCAAGGGACTCACGGTGAATTTTTACTCCAGTCCTAAGCTGGATAGGACTACTTTTTCATCTCGATGGCTCTCTTCACCACCAGTGTACCTCTGAAATTTCTGGTTCTGGGGTTAATACCATGACATCTTACAGCCACAGTTCTACACGCACTAGCTCAGGCTCCTTCCCACCAGAGAGGTGACATTCCATGTTCCTAAAGCCAGAGTTGTCAGCTAGGGACTGGAACACCAGCACCTCCTCTCCAAAGCCTTCAGTGCTATGATCGACTGTGCACCAAGTGCTAGAATCAAATGCCTAAAGCAGTGTTGGGGAGTAACGGAATACATGTACCGCCGTTACGTATTTAAAATACAAAATATGAGTAACTGTATTCCGTTACAGTTACCGTTTAAAAAGGTG